CCTTCCATATGCTACACACACACACACACACACATACGTGAATTCAAATAAGAACAATAGATGCATGTAAAATGTGATGTCTGACATTGCCCTTTTTTCCATTACTTTTCAGCAACCCTCAACGATTTTGCCCAAATTGATGAATCAATCCATCATGACCAGTAGACCTAGCACAAGTCGAGCAGACATCTAGGTCAGTCAGACAAGGGGTGAGGGGCCGTCATGGGCACCTTTCCCCAAATTGGTTCACGATCGACTTGTGTCGATCCTCTTTGGTCCACAATAACCAGTCATTGTCTGTTATCCCTAGGCAGCTTAATATGAAAGTTTATTGTTGTTTATATGTTTAATTGAGTGTGTATATATAAAATACTTTTTACATGTGTGAGAATGTGTAATCTCAGTTTTTTATCGGTAAACTCAATTCCGATCCTCACTCATATGAGGATGGGGATAGAGAGGAATTTTAAGGAATGAGGAGCAAAGGCAATAATAAAGTTTTATTCCAGCACATAGATAAGGGCGACCCCGTTATTGATATTATAAATTAATTAATTAAAACATAAAATTTTAACGTGGTTGGATTGTGGATATGCATAATTACTATCAAGGTATGTAGTACTAAGCCAAACCGAAAATAAAATAACAGGTTTTGATGAAAACGAGCCTAATGAAGAGTTTGGGGGACTAGCTATGGTTAGGGGTGAGCGAGGAGCGGATTGGAGTGGATTTTAGGTGAATCTACATCTAACCCACTAAAGGTGGATTTTAAAATTTTCATCTACATCTGTATCTGCTAAGGGTGCAATCCAATCCAATCTAATTCACTAACAGTGGATTTGAAGGATTAGATGTGGATCGAATAGCGAATTTTAAGTCTAACTTGAAGCAATGTTTATTGAGCTTGTGATTATGACGTTGTGAAGAAGAACAAATCTAACTCGGTGAGAGAAGAAGATGAAATGTTAGAATATGAAAACAACAATCATAAGCTAAGTATAGAAAAATTAAATATTAAATTTGAATTATAATTTTAGATTTAGACTGCACATACCATATGACAATCGGTAGTGAGCTACTAGACTTATGTGTGTGTGCAATTACGTCATTTTGGTACCAAATTAACAGAGCGAATTGGATATGGTGAAAATTGAAAAGTTACATCCACATTTAATCCACTAGTGACGGATTTATACTAAATGAATCCACATTCCATTCACTTTAAATCAGATACAGATTACAGACTAGAAGAGAGCAGATTTTACAAAATTAGTGGATCAAGAATGAATTTGACATATCCTTGCTCACTCATAGGCATGGTATAGCTTGCCATGAAAACAATCCTAATCATCATAGAGTACGTAAATTTATTGATTTTACTTGATATGAAGTTTAAAGAAAATAATAATTTTAATTTTTAAAAAAGTAAAACTTGAATTATGAAGTTTATGTTTTCTTGCTTTTTTTTTTTTTAAAAAATAATAATAATAATAATAATTATTTAGTGAACAATCGAATACATGATGTTTGAATTCTTTTGTAGTTATGTAAACGTAATATATTGAATTGAGGAATGAATAATTCTCATTTCCTGCATAATCCGAACATAAATGGGAATGGAGAAAATTTTTCATTCTCTAATCTCCCCAACGATGAGGATAGAATCATAGAAAGAATTTTTTATTCTTAAAAAAAAAAAAAAAAAAAAAAAAAAAACAACGATGACAAATCGGGAGCTATGTATACTCTCCCTAACATTTGGTACACATGAATGGCAATTCCATAATAACTAAAATTTTATTTTTTATTGACCGTAATTGCGATTCTCTCCAATCATGGAATTGAAATTCACATACCCCTATCGGCCTACAGAATTAGAACTCCCATTCGATTCTATAGCTAATGAAAAAAGGAAAAAAGTGTGTATTGACAAATGTTGCCTCATTTATTCAGCATATAAGAGCATTTTAGTCTTTGTATCAATTCTTTCATTTTAAATCTCAGTAATTCGATTTTGCCAACCAAACAATAAAATTTAAATTCTTAATTTATTTTCAAATTATTATTTTCCCATAGAATTATAATTCATTTCTCTCATAATTTTTCACTCTGACAAGAAGTGTCATGCAAGTTTGGGTCTCCTAATTCACCACTAGCACATTTATTTTTTTGGGCCGGGTTGGCCGAGTCCAATTAAAGTACAGACCAAGCTAAGCTCGGTCCAAAAATAAAAATTAAAGTCTGGCCTGATTCGTAGTCCTAAAAATAGGTTAAAAATTATAAATTAACTAATTTAAGTTATGTATTCCTTCTAAATTAATTAATTTTACAAGTTCACATATTTATTTTCAACTTTCAACTTATGAATTATTACAAGAAAATAAAATAAAATTAATAATTAATAATATAATACCATTAATAAGAATAAGTTTACAAATTACAACTACTAAGTACTAACTAATACTTAATAAGGGAAAATTTTCCAATTTGGAACAAATAAGCTTTTACAATTTTAAAATATTTGAATGTAACAATTACTAATTAATATGCTAGTTAAACAGTTAACTAGTTAAATAGTAAATACATAATAATTTTTTTTTTCAAAAAAAAAAAAACATAATAATTTAAGTGGCATAAAACCAATATCACAATTTGTAATGTAATAATTTCATGAGCAGTTATTCTATTAGAGAGTATATATATATATATATATATATATATATATATATATATATATATATATACATTCAAGTAAAAACACATCTTAAAATACAAACCTGTGGACAATTTGACGCCGTTGGATGGTGGTATTGGACGGTCCTGATTTTTTCCTCCTACGCGCTGTGTGCATGTAAGTATGTTAATGTGTGCACGAGCTTTGATGGATGGTTGTGATTTTTCTTCCTACGCGTTGTGTGCATGTAAGTATGTTAATGTGTGCACGTGCTAATCCCAGAAATTATTGGCAGTGCGCCTTGTGTGCATGTAAGTATGTTAATGTGTGCACGAGCTCAAGTTTGTATTTTAAGGAGTGTTTGTATTTTAAGGGGGTTTGTATTTGAATGCAACCCTATATATATATATATATATATATATATATATATATATATATATATATATATATATATATAGGAGTGATCACATGTGGCCATGTTGTTAGGTGTGGTCATATGGTCAATTATAGACCATTAGATTAGATAGATCTAATGAATCATATTAATCAAATTTTTTCAAGTATTTTCGCGCACATTCTACTACCCAGCGAACTGTAAGGGTAAACTTGTCATAAAACACCAGAATAGGGAAAATCACATTGTTGTGTGTTTTATTACACTATTGGTGCATGTTGTCAACACTGTTGGTGTATTCTGGAACTCGACCGCTATAAATGGCCACTGTAATTACCATAACACGGGAATACACCATTGGTGTGTTTCATTGTGGTGTGTTTTATTACACTATTGGTGTATGTTGTCAACACTGTTGGTGTATTCTGGAACCCGCCCGCTATAAATAGTCACTGTAATTACCATAACACCCCCACATACTAAAACGCGCGAAAATTCTCAGAATTACCACTGCCTTTAGATTAAACTGATTCAACGACACAGATACGACCACACGACCACACCTAATGACATGACCACATATGATCGCTTTTCTATATATATATATATATATATATATATATATATATATATATATATATATATATATATATATATATATATAATATTTTTTTTAAATGTATGGGAACGGGTCGAACCCCTCATTGGGCAAAAATTCAAAGTCTAGCCCTATCTGTAATATAAAACAAACTAACGTGTCGTTTGGTTCATGAAATCTTGGACTACCTTCAGAAAGGTAATGTAAGATTAAGGGAATGTAAGATTACCTGATGTGTTTGGTTAAGTTGTAGGAATGTAATAGTAACTTGTTTGATTGGAGGTTATATTTTAAGTTATGTTACATCAATTACCTAAATGCCCTCAAAGAAAATGAACAAGCTAAATCTTTTTTTTTTTCCATAGTTCAAAATAATAACAACAACAACAACAACAACAACAAGAATAATAATAATAATAATAATAATAATAATTATTATTATTATTATTATTATAACCTGCAAAACAAATTAAAACTTGCAAAAAATTAAAGCATGCATGCAACATGCAGTTAAGATGCAGAAGTACATAAAGTATTGCAGTGTGCTGCGTAATTGTCTACTAACCAATAAAAGAACATGAAGTATGAGTGAGGGGAAATATTAAAAAGTAATATCACATTACCTAAAGGAAATTCATTAATCACATTACCTCAAAGATACCCTCAAATCCTACGTGGCAGGCATGTTTTATTATCTTCAACTTCATATTACTTGAACCAAACAATGTAATCTAACATTACTTGTCTTAGATTACCAAGATAATTTGAGATCCCTCGAACCAAACGCTCTCCCTAACTATAATCCTCTCACTATAACGAATGAACCGGACCAAATCGAGTTTGGACTGAACTTCTGACTAATCCGTCCGTTTGACATCTCTAACCAAACGACTCGTAACGTGGAAGGCAAATTATGCTGTGCAACATGGTGCACACGGAATTGGATTCATAATTTCTATACTATAGATTCATAATTATTGAATTCTATATTCACAATTACAAAACTCTATGTTCATAATTTTCAATGTTCATATTCCCAATTGTTGAACTCCGTATTCACAAATCACTGAACTATATGTTCATAATTTAATAACTATACACTTTAGAAAATTATGAATCTATAGTATAAAAATTATGAATCTAATTTCGTGTGCACCTTGCATGGTGCACACGGTTGCACAGCATAACGCTCCAACGTAGAACGAGCCAGCGTGCATAGCATATGGGGGTACATATGAAATGGGCTTCGAGGCCCACCAAACCCAGTTCCCGATGTGGGCGCTGGCCCAATAACCCGACTACTCCGTATTGCTTTTCATCTTTCCCCTGCAACCAAGTATTTCAAAATTCGAATTCAAAACTCAGAGAGAGAGCAATGGCGCCGAAATCCGAAATCAAGGGTTTCTACAAGCAACAGAAGAAGGGCGGCATCTCCAAGGCGAAGCCCAAGTCAAAGACTGCTTCTTCTTCTTCTTCTTCTACCCCCAAGCACTCCGCCTCTTTCGGCGCTAATCTCACTCAACCTCCGGCCCTCGTCTCCCATGGCTCCCTCGATTTACAAGGTATTTCTCTTCCCCCCTGCAATCCTAACCTCGATTCATGCAAGCCTTTTCAATACACGTATAATAGAAACCCTAATTGCCGGGCAAGGTACGACTATCTTAATAGGGAATTCAAATCGTACCTTGTGCTTTAACAGCTATACCATGTTCTGACGGTTAGAATTTGTTCAGGCTCAACAAATTATCACTATTTCTACTGTTATTGGTAACTAATGTGAATAGAATTATAACTTGAAATAGAAAGAAGTGTCAATTAAGCATTTTTCCAATTTCCCATTAAATCTAATCATATTAAACATTTCAACCATCAAATATGTGCTCAATTGGGTCACTAAACATAAAAAGTGCGCAATTCAACCATCAAATATGTGCAAATAAAACATTTTTCCAATTTTCCAATTAGAATATAATCATATTACTTACATGTTATGTATTAAGAGGTGTCATTTCCCTCTCTCATACTAGTTTGGATGAAAGAGTGAAATTTTCCATTAGATTCTTATCATATTGCGAGTTGACATTCCCTCTACCATACTAGTTAGTTTGGATGAAAGAGTGAAACGCTTTCCAATCAAATCGCATTAAAAAGAAATCTAAAAAAATGTCTCAATTGCACAGATTTTGTTTGTTTGAGGGTTTAATTGCAGACTTTTTAAGTTCAATGACTAAATTGCACAAATAGCTATAAGTTTAGTGGCCTATTTGACATTTTTTTTTAAAATAATCATTATTTCAATAAAGTTTGAACTTTGAACCTTTTTGCGTCCTGCAAATGAAGAAAATGATGAGTTTTAATGATTCTGTTTTGGGGTGTTTGTTGTATTGTGTGATTATGCGGACAGATGAATATGATGAGAAAGAGGTTGTGTTGAGGCAATTTGACATGAACATGGCGTATGGACCGTGCCTTGGAATGAGCAGACTGGAGCGATGGGAGCGTGCCAAGTCTCTTGGCATGAACCCTCCGAATGATCTTCTGCGCATCCTTGAAGGCAAGAATGCTCGACAAGAATGTCTGTGGGACTGCCGTGTTTAGAATAATACTGTCTTCCCATTCATGCTGCTTGGCTTTTCCTAGTAGTTTTCCTTAGCTGTTTCTGTTTAACCCCCCATGTACAGCCCCTGGCTGTTCTTGTAGTTCTTGCTTGCACTTTTTTTTATCTCTAAATATTAAAATCTTGGCAGCCATCCTTGGCCTCAAACATCATTCTCTTATATATTTTGTGTAACATTTTGGTCTTAGATGACTGCGTTTACTTCCATTCTTACTTCCACAAAAAACTTTAGATGACCGTGTTTGTTTCAATTCTACGATCTGTATTCTTGTTTGTTTCAATTCTACGATTTGTATTCTTGTTTATTTCAATTCTACGATCGGTATTCTTTTATGAGTAAGTTTTGTGTGAGATCGTTTTATGTGAGATGTATAATACTTTTAAGTTAAAATATAATACGGAGTTAATACCTTACACAAGATTTATTCTTGTTTCGGAATTGGATTTTGAGGTCATTAGCATAGGCATTAAAATAGACATACACATATGGTATGGATGTTCAAATGCACTACAAGTATAGCAAGCCACAAAATACTTACCACAATGACATTTCAGAGATTTTAAAGCTACAAAACAATCAAATAAAACCAATCTAACAATCTTTCCTCCCAAAACCATAAAATACATAAAAGAATGAAAGAATTGAAGAGAGCTGAGCACAATAACTAAACTAGGAATAATTTAAACAGTGTGAAGATGCTTTCACTAAAACAAACATACTCTCAACCTTTCCGATATCAAGCTTGCTGGTTCATCTGCTCCAAACAACTATCCTTGCTGTTCTCGGGTTCTTTCTCTTCTAAGGTCTCGGGATCACGAACATCAATGACCGAGTCTCCCCCATCGTTAGACTGCAGCCAAGCCTCGTGATTTTGTAGGACGTACTCCAAGTGCCATAGAACTTCTCCCATTGTTGGCCTGGCCTTCCCCTCGTCAGCAAGGCATTTCTCAGCAATCTCACCGAACATCACCAACGACTCGGGAGAGTATTTCCCCTTGAGTTGTGGGTCGATGATAGTTTCTAGTGATCTTTGTCTCTGCCACCGCATTGCCCATTCCGCAAGATTAATCTGATCCTTGGGCAAGCTCGGGTTGATCACAGCTCGTGCACACGCGACTTCAAATAACACGACACCGAATGAGTAAACATCGGATTTTTCAGTCAGTTGCTGCCGCCTGAAGTACTCGGGATCGAGGTACCCGAAGCTTCCTTTCACCGCCGTGCTCACGTGTGTATGGTCCAAAGAAGGGCCTCTTTTGGACAACCCGAAATCCGCCATTTTCGCTACGAAGCTCTCGTCCAACAGTATGTTGGTCGTCTTTATATCCCTGTGAATGACGCCCCGCTCCGATCCCGTGTGGAGATAATGCAGCCCCCGAGCAGCACCAATGCAAATCTCGAGTCTTTGTTTCCAGCTTAGCGGTGGTAGGTCACTCCCAAACAGGTGACTCCTGAGAGTCCCGTTGGCCATATACTCGTACACCAAAATCATTTCGTTCTGGTCATCGCAGAATCCTATCAAGGATACCAAGTGCCTATGCCTTAGCTTCGAAAGCAGCTCAATCTCGGTCTCGAATTCCGTTAGACCTTGCTGGGATTGTGGATTGGATCGCTTAATTGCTGCTAAGATACCATCATCAATATCTCCTCGGTATACTTTCCCAAATCCACCCACTCCGATCACCAAACTCTCGTCGAAGTTGTTCGTTGCTGCTTTGATATCTGCTAGCGTAAACCGCCTTCCAGTTCTTATGGTTCCAAGAGTCCAGTTTTGGTTTCCGGTTGTTCCCTTCACATTAGCATTGCTACCCACTATCGATCCGTGAAGGAATAAAGGACGCCATCCCGGGGAACTCTTCTTGGTATCTCCTTCTTTGCTTCTCTTCTTTTTACACAAACAAATAACCATCATAGCTAGACCCGTGAGAGCCAAAATGGACACAATCCCTGCTCCGATTCCTAACCAAAGAATCATGGTTTTGGACTTTCGTTTGCCTTCAAGATCCTTATAGTCTTGTATATAAGCAAGATTGTTATTGCGACTCAGCTTGAAGATCTCCAACCCGTTCAATATAGCATCTGTACCAGGGGAACCGGTTGATGTGTCGGGACCCAATTGTACCCAAAGGCTCTTGCTTTTCGAGGGCATCACGTCAAAGTAATCCTCATGGTACGCCTTGTTCATTCCTCCCGCTCGTACGAAAATATCGACATTGTCTGCTGCTGTTTTGTTATTTATGTAGACTCTGAAGATACGCTGGCTCGGTTTATCATATTCTAGCTCGCAGAAATGTAAACGGACCAAATAATCGAAATCGGGATCCACTTCGAATTTCCACGACATATTGAACCGCTTCTCCATGACTTCTGGGTTGGTCAGAGTTCTTGCTACCTCATAGACAAGAAGGGGAGCTATGGAGGTGTCATTTGGGGAGGCATAGGTAACATTCGATTTGTTTCGGGCTTCTGATCCAGCATCCGGGTTGATCATAAAGCTCGAATCTTCTTCCCACATTCTCCTAAAAATTGAATCTTGATGAGGTTTGATCGTTGAGCCACCGACGTTTAACCGATACATAGTCTCGACCCCTCGCTTGCTCAAACTCAAAGAAGCTTTGGCACCGTTCCCGCCCACTTTGCTAACAGAGTCCACGAAAAGCTTATCAACGACGGGGATGATCTCGATGGCATTGACAAAACCGAAGGACCCTTTCTCCGGGACGAAGTCAAGGACAACGAGATTCGTTTCAACAGCCACGAAATACTCCTTTACTAAGGACACGAAGCTAGAGTTTCTCCCTGAAATGTACGAATTCTTCTGCAGAATTTCACCGGGAACATTGAACTTGGAGACTAATTTCAACCCGTTCGCCTCAACAGAAAAGTAAGACTCGTTCACATTGTAGCTCTCAAACACAAATGGGCAGAAATGGAGTCTAAGGAACACGTTCCCCGCAACTCCTTGGACCGTGTAGTTAAGGCTCTCAGAAAAGAATCGGGCAGTTCTGTAGAGCTCGGCATAATCCAGATCGCCATTGATCGAGGCAGTGGAGGCCTCGATACCAGAAGAACTGAGAGTTACATTGTTTCCAGAGGCTAAATCACCCACCCATTTGTTACCATCCACAATTAAACTGGAATTTGTGCCACAATTTATCAAAAATGGTTTCCCCTGAGCTTCCCCATTCTTGGCAAAACCAAGAAACATCAAGAAAATAACTAGGCCCAAGAGCCCCAAGCCCTGGACTTCCATTGCTAACCAGTAACCACAACTTTCTTATTTCCTCAACCAATCAAAAGATTTCAAGTGCAGCTTCAAAATCAGTAACTCAAGAAAAATCCAAACTGAAAACCCTAAAATCTCAAATTGTATTGCCAAATGTCAATCAATGGGTTGAAGAGATCTCAAATTGAAGGAAAGGGCATGAAAGTTACCTTAAAGCATACAAACATACAATATTAGCAAAACCCACCAAGAATGGTACTTCAAAAAATGGCCTTTCTTGAACAAATGAGCAAACAGTAATCAGATCTGAAACAATAAAATATATGTATGTATATATACGGAAATATCACAAAGATGGCAAGAAAAGCAAGTGACCCAGAGACAATGAGGCTGAGAATCTCTCAAGAGAAATCTACCTGGAAAAAGGGTCTTTTCCAAAGAAAGAATAAGAGAAAGTGGGAGTGGAGGGTTTTGGCTGCTTCAAATTTCAAACAGACTGGAAAACAAAAATGAATAATAAACTCACTTTCTTTATTATGGGTTTAGTAGTTGTACATTTGTTGCAACTGCATTATAACAGCCATTGCTTCTCTGTAAACACGATTTTAAAGCTCATTTAATACAGTGATAATTAGGGTTCTTGAAAATTAATGTTTATCTTTATTGCTTGTGGGAAGAAGACAAAAGGGTCTTGGTTGCCAGGGAATGGATCTCCATTATTTGGGAGGTGGGTCACATGCACATGTCTGGAAGATGAACTACACTCCAAATTATCACTCTCATTTCAAGATTTGCCACTTCATTTTTTTTTTTTTTCTTTTAAACAAGGATATAGTTATATAGATTTGTCTTTAGAATATCTTGCTCTTATTTTTCTTTTCAATCATCCACTTGATAAGTATATAAATCTTAGCTCAATGATTCCGTAGATAATATTTGAAAAAAGATACTAAAGTTCGAACATTAGCAGCAATAATGTAGGGATATGTCCAAAGTGGACAGAGTCCTCTTTGTACGCACACCAGCATTTGACCATGTTTGTTGAGTCATTAAATTATTGTGATTTACATATCTCAAGTGTTTTATCCGACCGAGGTATAAGGAGTCTTTGGAGTTATGAATTCAACCTTTTAAGTGAAAAAGTATATAAAATTCAAAATTTTAAATAACATTAATAATTACTAACAACTAGGTACAATAATTCATGCATAAATACCTTATAAATTATTTTTGATAAATTTCAAATCTTTATATAATCAATGAGGGCATTAAATCATTAATGAAGTGTACATGTTAAAACATTAAACTAATTACTAATATCTGTATTGCAAAGTTATACTAACTAGAGATTTTATATTTTCTGAGAAAAATAAACAATTGTAAAATAAAAACAAAAAAAAAACAAAAAAAAAAACAAAAAAACAAAAAAACAAACAAACATTAGATGTGTTTCAATAATTGGTTTACAAACTTTCAAATGTTTATATATAGGTGTTTTATTTTTATTTTTTTTTCTTTTTGAGTACATATACACAAGCGTTCATAACAAAGTTAAATATATCCATTTTTTTTAATCCATTCGAACTTTGCACCCACTCGACTACTAACATAGTAAGACTTTTCAATTTATTTTGAATTGATTGACTAGTTAAGCTGTGTTTTGAAGGTTTATAAAACTATATTGTTGTATTTAATGACTAAATTAGTGATACTTTAATTAATGTTTTCCTTTTCTTTTTAAAGTTTTTAACATTTAAGAAAAAAAAAAAAAAGATAATAATGATGCCATATTATTGCGATATATATTTTCTTCCGTACCAAATGAGTACTTCCGTAACTAGTCAAAATTTTGTGCTGTTTACATGCAACACAACACCTTCTAAAGTGGTAGTTTTTTATTTTTATTTTTTAATTATTTTTTTAATAAATCAGATCTGGAATCAACTGTTGACTTTTGGACATGCAGACAAGTAGACAACACATTTGTAGGCTCGCCAACAATGTAAGGATTTTTTTTCTTAATTTAAAAGATAATTTTAATTTTGGTTTATTTTACTTTTAATAGTGGATAACAGGATATTATCAGATCATGATCAATGACTTATTATTATGCTAAAAGATATTTTGATACCAATTGTCAGAGTCAAACGCTTATGACTATTCAAAAAATATAACTATTAGTGAATGTGTAATTTTATTTTCTTATATTTACGTTGCAATTAATGTAACGTTTCGATAGCAAAAATGATGATTTTGATTATTCAAGTCGACACTCAACATATGTCTAAAATGCACTTTTAAAAAGAGTGAGATGAAGTTTTCACAAAGTTTAGCATGTTTTTTTAAAGTGAAAAGCATTTTGAAGTTGATGGTTAAAAACATAAAATTGGAACAAATTAAATTCGATATTTAACAAGTTAAAATGTCACTACACTTAAGAGGTTGCAATTGCAATCGAATTCACTTTAAGATATTTAATACATATAAGTATTTGCACTCGTACGATGTACGACCACTATGTTAGAGTATAATTTGAAAATATTAAATGTTCAAAACATACAAAAAAAATTCACAATTAAGTATAAATACAATTACAAATTATTAAAAATTTCTTTTTAAATCATATTTTAAGTAGTACTATAAAAATTATAAGTTCCCTACAAATTAGAATGACCTATTAAATTACTAACCCTTGAAACTGCTACATACAATTGCCTATAACCAGCTTTCTTAATAACAAATCAAATATATAAGCAAAAATTTGACCTTATCTCCTTGAGAGAAGGTCACAGAATCACTTTGAAAAAGTGTAGAACAGATGTACTTTCTAATACTAAATATTATTAAAAAAAAAAAAAAAAACCTTATCTATTCTTATCGAAATTTGAAAGTATCTGTATCCCAATTTTGTTTTCTTCATTTTCCACGATAGCAATTATGGTATCTTCCAAACAACAAAAAGCAGAATATTCCATTTTCATCGAACGAAATGACAAGTTAACCACTACTACGCCACCAAACTACGCCGCAGCTGATCAGCTCATCTACGGCACTTTGATAGTGAAATCCCATTTGCCAATAATCAATATCATGTAAAATGCGCGATAATAGTAAAAAAGATCGAAACTTTATGGCGGGCTATGGGTTCTGTAAATCTTTATACTACATTTTCTTGATTCTTGCAACGGCGGACTTGGTGGAGATGGGTGCCGGAGAAGAGCTAATACCCACCACCTTGGACGGCCCTTTCAAGCCTGTGACTAGGAGGTTGGATCCTTCATTGCGTCAAGGCAGTGATGACTTGCCCATGAAGCATCCCAGGCTCAAGAGGAACGTGACCTCCATGTTTCCTGAACAGATTGCCCTTGCATTATCCACCCCTACTTCTATGTGGGTTTCTTGGGTCACTGGTATGGCCTTATGGACTCTGTTTTTCTCTTTTTTGTTGGCGGGCAGTGTAATTGTTGTAGTATACTGATATATTGTTGATTAGCTAAGCAGGGATGGAGATGTCTTGGTTCATTGCTATGTAGTTGGTTTCCAAGAGATTGTAGGATCAATGGTTAAAACTTAAGATGTTATTTATCTGGATTTGATCAGTTAAGCAGTGCCTAGCTGGAGTTAGCACTATATTTCTTAAATTTTGAAATGGGTGTGGGGGAGCCATATTTTGGTTGCAAGATTGGCACTGAGAACAGTTATGTTGAACTTGAGAAACCTGCCGTCACTACCTGAAGGTGTGTACTATGTAAATTCTGCTTTGTGACCCTAGCTGTCAAAGGACTACATGGAGGTAAAACCAGGCTAGATTGCCCATAATAGACTGACTTAAACCAAGAAGGCCAATAGGCTGTTCCCAGTGGGAGTTAAACTTGTAACATTGTGGACTTGTGGTTACTAAGTTAACAGTTTGACCAATTTGGCTGGGTTGCCCTCTATTTGAATGGGGTTTTGATTTGTGTTATATTGGTTTCAGGGGAATATCAGATTGGATTGAATGTGACACCACTTGATCCAACAAAAGTGGGCAGTGAGGTGTTGTATGGCAAAGCAAGCAGGAAGTACACAAAGAGGAAAACTGGGGTTTCCATGGTTTATAGTCAGTTGTATCCATTTGAAGGTCTATGGAATTACACCTCTGGCATTATTCATCATGTTAGAATTGATGGTAAGCTTTTCAGAAAAGTTTTGGTTTATCTAGAACATTGTGATCATTATTCATTAGGCATTGACTATTAGGATATGAATCTTGAAGTTATTGATTGCAAGTTTTTAGCAGAGTTCTACAGATAGTAACATGTTGTGCTTGCTTTGGGAGTTATGTTTCTCCTATGTGCTTTATCTAGAGCAATGCGATTATTAAGAGTTGACTATTAGGAGATGAGTATTGATGCCAAATTAAGCAGCTTTGGGTTTTACTGTAGGTCTTGAACCTCAGACAAAGTACTACTACAAATGTGGAGATAGTTCTTTAGGGGAAATGAGTGAGGAGCTTGTTTTTGAGACATTGCCTTTGCCTGCACCTAACCAGTATCCCCGTCGAATAGCTGTGGTTGGAGATTTAGGCCTCACGAGCAATTCAACTACAACCATCGATCATCTCATCACGAACGATCCCTCAATGGTATTGATGGTTGGAGACTTGAGTTATGCAAATCAGTACCTTACAACTGGTGGAAAAGGGGCCTCTTGCTATTCTTGTCAATTTCCCGATGCACCCATCAGGGAGACATATCAGCCTCGTTGGGATGGATGGGGAAGGTAGATTCATGCTTTTCCTAATCAAATACATAATTGAAAAATGGCTAGCATGTACGATCTTCTTTTAACATTTTGATCATATGAAAATTCAGTTTCAACTCCTTTTATATGATATGAAAGTGAAAAACCATGTTTTCCTTTTCCCTTTACTTTCCATCTCATGACTAGAGCTGTCAAAACGGGCCAGCAGGACCAGGGTGGCCCACTCCTTGGCGGGTCTGGGATCAGCTGGCCCGCCTTGCCCCCTTGCTAGGATTGACTAACTGTCTGGGAGACTGCTTAGGCGACTCGCGATTTATCTCCTCCAGCGACTTTTGGGCAAGGATTAGTCTAGCATAAGCTAGGAAACTGAAAGTATAAAATAATAATAGAAAACTATCTTGCGCCATAGCTACATCCAAGAATGGCATGGGTGTTTGTAACTACTCAATGGCCTACTTTGGTCATCAAAAAAGCAAGAAAAAAATCCGGTTGTGTTCAATTGAAGGATTTTGGTAACTTAACTAAAATTGCTGTTTCCAGGTTTATGGAGCCCTTAACCTCAAGAGTTCCAATGATGGTCATAGAAGGCAACCATGAGATTGAGCCCCAAGCGGAAGGAGTAACATTCGAGTCATATTTGACAAGATTTTCTGTTCCTTCAAAGGAATCGGGATCTACCAGTAACTTCTACTATTCATTTAACGCCGGTGGAGTACATTTCATCATGCTAGGCGCCTATGTTGACTACAACAGAACTGGTGATTGATTTGATATCTTATCTCATGGTTTACTCCCTTTGAAAATTTCATGTAAATTGTGATCAATCTAAAAGCTGATGTGTGTTAATGCGATTGTTGCTTAGGTGCTCAGTATTCTT